AAATACCTTGATCATACAGCTCCATTATTCAAAGAACTTAATCTTCTGAATATATATGATATAAATAAGCTGAATACAGCAATTTTCATGTACCAAGTAAAAGATGGTGACCAAATACTAAATTCACTACTCGATACAAATTTCCAAATAAACAGTGATACACATAGTTATAATACCCGCCAATGTGACAACTTCCATATTGAACATGCGAACAAATTTTCCATAAAACGGAATGGGCCTTCACTATGGAATTCTCTTAAAAATTCCACAAAAATGTCAAAATCTATAACCTCCTTTAAAAAGGCCTACAAATCTGACCTCTTGTCAAGCTACTTATAAAAAATCTGTCTTATTAAACATCTTTATTTACTATCCACGCATTGTATATTACAATAGTCATGGCACATCATTTAAACACAACGTACATACATGCTTAGTGTATGCATTGTACTATGTTATATCATGTAAATACTTGTATATATGAAACTCATATACCTATATACCCTTGTAAACTAGTTAGACTATATATATATATTTTTTTTATATTTGCTAGTGATACTTTTTTTTGATACTTGACATTATACTTTTATATGCCATTTGGTGTCAGTATTAGTCATGTATTATTATTGTATATACATTTTTTCTAAATAAATAAATAAATAAAATATACTGACGTTATTATACGACTTATTTTTAGGATATCGGGCGTGTGGTATGGGGGGGGGGGGGACTGCAAAACAAAAATTATCTGGCAACGACCATTCATAATACCCGGGATGGTGTTGAACAATTTCCGAACCCAAAAATGCCTAGAGCAATGATTTCTGGGTTGGTGAAGACTGAAAAGGTTTCGATCGGTTTCAAGAATTATGAAGTACGCCTTTAGCTAATCTAGTTTTTTTGTCTGGCCCGCAATGACTGTTCATTGTGTAAGGTCTACCATGGCGGTCATTAAGATTTTAGACACGGTGGTAAAATATGAATCATATATATATATAGTATAAGCTGAAATGTAAACTGGTCCAGACCAGACAAGAAAACCCGGTCGGGACGTTCAATCACGCGGTCCTAACTTCGACCGTTAATTTGAATTTTGACCTATACCGGATGTTTGAAAATCAAGGATTACGAGTCTCATACTGCACCGTTTTTCTTCAAACGTGTTCCATTCAAAGCATAACACAAATCCCTTTCTGATGGTACATTATTCTCTTCAACAGAGTCCCTACTTACAGCGACATTTTGGTCCCCAGCTGTAAGAAGGCCTTCTAACAGCTGAGGACCAAAACGCTGCTAGAACGAGAGACTCTTTACAATAAAGTAATGCACCGACAGAAAGGCAATTTTGTTCTGCTTTTAATGGTATAAGTTTGAAGAAAAACGGTGCAGTATGAGACTCGCAATCCTTGATTTTCAAGCACCTGGTAGGTCAAAAATTCAAAAGTTAGGACCGTGTCCCAATGCTTATTTCACTCCGAAGGCAATGAGGATTGGCTCCCAGGATCGAAACTCGATATTTTCCAACAATGAAAACGTCGAAATGCATGCCGTTATTCTCTGAAATTACAGGGCGTTCAATAAGTACTGATTAAAATGCTATAATTTTTATTTTTTACATCTGACTAATTTTCATAGTGTGCATTTTGGAGTATCATACTGATCTGTAAAGGTTTCAGGAATGTGCTTCAACAGGAAGGTGGTGCTGGGTAATAGCCAAAGGTGGTAAGTGGTGGATCAGGTCTGCAGGAAAAAAGTTTCAAAATGACTTAATATGTGAATATTGCTCCATAGACAATTGCTTGAGCACCAACTTGTCACCATCAATGTCATTTCTGAATCAAAATGAATAACATGGTTTTCATGACCAACACTTGAATCAGTCATGGCTGCAATTTTTTGAATTCATCCAATATTTATTTTAATTCATCAATCTGACTATGGGAAGATACAGCTTTCGGTCACCCCTGTCTGGGTTCATCTTCAACTGACTTTCTCCCTGCTCTTTGAAATAATGGAACAGACAATACATGCCAGGGGTAGATCAATTTTGATTTACCAAATGGTATATAATGCTGCTACTATTTTGATGGCGAATATTATTGATATTCTGTTCAGCAGATGTTGTCGATGACAAAATATCTGCAGAGTTCATATGGGATGTAATTTCTCGATGATGTCATATGTCATCCGATCGATCTTAAATTTCTCTGTGGTGTGATTGTATTCTTATAAATTGCTCCTTGGTGTAATTTCTACCTTACAATTTGCTCTGTGATGTCATCAATAGGTTTTGCAAAGGTACCTTACGACAACTGTTTACTACAACTATTTACCAACTATAAAAATGGATTCAAAAATAAAATTATGTATGAAAATGTTTAAATTTTTTCGCGCAGACCTGAACCACCACGAACCACCTTAGGCTCAACCCAGCACCACTTTCCTGTTAAAGAACATTCTTGTAACTCTCACAGTGCATCAGTAGAATACTCAACAATGTACAGTAGAAAGGTCAGTCAGACATAAAATATTTAAAATGTTGAACATTTTTGTCAGTACTTATTGAACCGATATATAACCGATTATAAATTCAAAATAAACAGTTAAAAGAGATTCGAACAAATATCTCGATCATTTCTTGTGAGTTTTGGAATTTTTCGTAAGGAAGTAAGAATAAGAAAAAAATTCACGATTCAAATGTTGGAATGAACAAAATGGCGGCTGTTTGAATTCGAATTCTGTAACATGCCCATATATGGGACAGAATATCGATGTTGCACTCTGGGAGTCAATCCTCCCTGCTCCGAGGGTATATTCATACTTGAGTTGAAACACAGGCTGGTATCGAAAGATTTGTCCGCTGTGACGGAGCATGCTATTTTTCATAAAAACACTAAGAATGCTTCACGATTTATTCTTTAACTCATATGTTTCGTTATATCCAAGGAGGATTGGCTCCCAGAATCGAAGTCGATATTTTCCAACAATGAAAACGCCGAGATGTCGTTATTTTCTGAAATTATAACCGATTATAAATTCAAAATAAACAGTTCAAAAGATTCGAACCAATATCTCAATCATTTCCTGTGAGTTTTGGAATTTTTCGTCAGGAAATAAGACCAAAATTTACGATTCAAATGTTGAAGTGAACAAAATGGCGGCTGTTGGAATTCAAATTTTGTAGCACGACATGCCCATATATGGGACAGAATATCATATGTCATCCGATCGATCTTAAATTTCTCTGTGGTGTGATTGTATTCTTATAAATTGCTCCTTGGTGTAATTTCTACCTTACAATTTGCTCTGTGATGTCATCAATAGGTTTTGCAAAGGTACCTTACGACAACTGTTTACTACAACTATTTACCAACTATAAAAATGGATTCAAAAATAAAATTATGTATGAAAATGTTTAAATTTTTTCGCGCAGACCTGAACCACCACGAACCACCTTAGGCTCAACCCAGCACCACTTTCCTGTTAAAGAACATTCTTGTAACTCTCACAGTGCATCAGTAGAATACTCAACAATGTACAGTAGAAAGGTCAGTCAGACATAAAATATTTAAAATGTTGAACATTTTTGTCAGTACTTATTGAACCGATATATAACCGATTATAAATTCAAAATTAACAGTTAAAAGAGATTCGAACAAATATCTCGATCATTTCTTGTGAGTTTTGGAATTTTTCGCAAATGATATATCCATTGCATGGAGTAAGTAATTTTGTATGGTATAACGAAACATATGAGTTAAAAAATAAATCGTGAAGTATTCTTAGTGTTTTTATGAAAAATAGTATGCTCCGTCACAGCGGACAAATATTTCGATACCAGCCTGTGTGAAAATAAGAAAAAAACCTGAGAGTTGACCGCGTATTCGATTCGTAACTGAAATATAGCATTTTATAAAAAGTATATCAACATAGAAATTTATTAATAAGTCGATCAAAATATAGTCTGTACTATTTTTCTAAAGTATGAAAAAATTTATTATCGTGCTTATTGAAGGTCAGTATTGACTTAATTTTCGTTGAGGTATGGATGTATTACGAAATAAAATTAATTATAATTTTTCTATAGCCTACTCAAGGCTGTTCTGACACATGTATTTATCAGCACCATCATACTATTTGTATACATAATTCAAAATATAACTTTTCAGTAATAATTTTCAAGGGAATGTACAGTCTGTGTTATGAAACTATACATCTCTCTATATATTTGATAGTTTGATGATACATCTGTCTGTTTGTTTGATTGTTTGTGATTTATTAACTAAAACAATCGTCTATGAATGCCATAGTTCGTTTTGTTAGGACATTTATGGGTAAATTGACAAATGTACATATGTATAAATTAAAATTTTATTTCTTGAATGTATGTCTATGTTTGTATCTCGAGTATTTTTATTCTACATAATGGTTTTCATTAATTAAAGTACCTCAGTTGTAAAATCAGTGCCAATAAAAAACATCCTCATACAAAAACTTGTATAATTCAGAATTTATTTTCATTATTTCCATGTCTGAAAGCACCTCACTCTCAAAATGACTGTCAAATATGGCCACATGAAGCCAGCTGATTACAAAAATATGATTGCCACTCGTTACAAACTGCAGTTGGATCCATAAGAATTTCCCCCTTGTCTGCTCTTACTGCTCTTAAGAAAGTACGTTGATCCTTGTTCTCTGAATTATATATCTCGTTTAACTTTTTGTGTTCATATACCCTTTGCATTCGTTCGACTTTGCTGGAGAGCTTTATGGTTTATAACTAGACCGCGCACAGGGCTAAGTGTTCATATTCTGCCTTGGATCTGTTAAATGCCGCCGGGCCCGGAATATCCTCTATGAGTCCTTTTAGTTCATCCTTGCGTTCACCCAAGCCCGTCGAGCCCTTTTCCGTTGCTTCTTCAAACGAGTTAATTTGATAACCGTTACATCGAAAAATTGCATTTTGGATCTTTTTCGATAACAGGTTTTCGAGAAATACGAGACGATAAAGTCCTGGGTAATGTAATGCTCTTGACTGAATCTGTGGTTTAATAATCTTTTGAATATTATGCTACAACACAACAGTATGTTTCTCTGTCATGCTACTGGTGTTAGATGGTGGACCCGTATACCCACTTATCGTCTGGTATACATCCACCATCACATCATAAATGTCTTCCGGTCTGATTATTGCTACAAGATGTACAAATGTCGCCTCTGAATTTATAGTTCCTCGATCTTTCTTGTTAAGATATGTGTAATGTGCAGCAAATAGTGGGTGCTCATATATCGTAACTCCCAGTGCTTCAGCAATAGCGCCTACGTAGCCATCGTCCGGCGCCGTTATGGGAGTTCTGCAGAACATTGCGTTCAAGTCCCGGATGAACGTCAGCGAGGAGATAAACCCACAACCTGACTGGTATGCCGGGTAATATTTTTTGGGCCATTTAACTGGGGATATAAGTCTGTTTTTATGATTTTGATCATATATTATTGGACTCCCTCTAAGTGGAGCACCGAAATACAATCTCATATTAGTGGAGTTATGGTTATAGAATTCATTTGCCCAACCTATCAGTTTCTGTGGGTTCAACACTGTGTCTTGCGTGATTCTCATCATGTAGATTGCATTTGAGCAGTGTTCTTGTGTCCAGCGGAATGATGCAATTGTCTTATCAGTTATATTCAAATAAGTATCATCAAATCTGCCTTGGACAATGTCACCATACACTTCACTTTCATTTGCAATCTTGGACATCCGCTGAAGATCTTTATTTTCCCCTATGATGAAAGCAAAACGTAGTGACCAGCCAAACAGTCTCCTTACACCTCCCCACGTTTCTCTAATCGCTTGTCTGAAGAACGATGATCCTTCTGCAACGAGATGAAAAGAAGGCTTGAGTGGTAAGCGTGGTAAAAGAAATAAAACACTCCAAAACGAAACTAACCACCAAAAAGGAAAATGGATGTGATATCAAACTGAACTCTTATTTTTGTACTTTTTGGTTACTGGCATTACTTTATGCATTTTACAATAAATAAACAGAGCCATTAAAACCCCTTCTTGGTAGAAGTTCTAAACAATTACCACATTTACAAACTGGTCAAAACCGGCTTGTCAAATCGGCTTACATTTATTTATATCGCGGTAATGAATCATCAAATGATGTACGAAGGTGAGAGCTCTAACGGTATATTTTTCATAAAAAATACCTAAAATCTTAGCATATTTCAATTTTTGCAAAATTTGTTTTTATGCCAAAACTTTAACTGTGAATTACATTCTAATGGCCTAGTCACATAGCCCGGCCGATGTCCGGCATCGGTAGAGCTCGGTGGATTTTTTTGGTGCCACCGAGCTCTCCTCATCGGAAGCAGAGCTCGGTGACGTGAACGGACTCCGTCCGGACATCTTCAGGCGACCGACCGAACACCGGCCGGTGACCGTACGGAGTCTGTCTCAAAATGGTAGTTTTTTTCTGCCGATGTGGCAGCAACTACCGGCCGGACATCGGAAGGAATACGGCCGGTACCCGAGCAGGTAACAGGACACCGTGCGATCGCCGGCCGGGTTGTTAACGGGCTTTGAACAGTGACCGGCCGATGCTCTGTCCCACATCGGCCGGAGCTCGGTCGGAGCTCGGCCGCTGTCCGTTAAAAAACCTCGTCCTCTGGTTGTCTCAGATGCACGGGACACCGGCCGATACTCGGCCGTGCACCGGCCGACGTGTTTTCCGATGTGGTTACGATGGGGCTGCGATGACATGATGAGGGAGCACGGTGAGAGCCCGGTGAAATTTAACTCCGAAGTTAAAATTTCACCGAGCTACCACCTATGCTGTTTTAAGCAACAAACGCCACGGATGTCCGGCCGGTGTCCGGCTGGTGTTCGGCCGAGTTCGGTGAAAATTGCATCGCTGGCTCATCGTAACCTCATCGGCCGGGCTATGTGACTAGGCCATTAGCATAAATATCAATGAAGACGATCACGTAATTCATCAATTAAGAACAGATTATGCATCGTATTCCAGTAGGGGAATCAGGGGCAGGGTCCTAAAAAGTGGATCCTATGACCCACCCCAATACACAGTCATTCGATATGCAGTTATAACTCCTACTGTTTAAACTGACATGTCTTTCAGGCCCGTAGCCAGAAATTTCCAAGGGGGGTTCACTTTTCCGAAAAATTCTATGGGGGGGGGGGTTCACTTTGGCAAAGGCCAAAAATCACTCAAAAAGTAGTCAGAATGGTGAAAAACTGCATGATTTTGTAGGAAATTTTGGCCGGGGAGGGGGGGGGGGGTTCGGGGGGCCTGTCTTTTTACAATGCAAAGTGTGGTAAGAAGTCATCCATCCTGGAGCTATTGAATATAGATATCTCGATTCCTTTTTAGAAAATGAAATTTGTACTATAAGGACATCAACATAATTATTGAAATGATCACTTCCAATATATCATCTCTTTTCCTTTTAATTCCTTGATGAAGTTGAGAAAACGCATACCTGACGTGTCACTCAATATCACAACAATCATCAATTTCTTATCATCGCCCTTGTCCAGCTTACATAGCCTTTCAGCTGCATGGTAATAGTCGAAGTTATCAATATATGTGTTATTAAACTTCAAATCAAAGAATTCAACTGGAGTTTCTGAATCATATTTCCTTTGTACTCTTTCTGGCATTGGATTTGTAAAATGTTTACATTTTAGTGCTTCCTTGATTGGTAAATCATTTAATGATTTTGGTGGTCCTGTAGTTCGGAAAATGGTAGTTACTTGAGTTTGACCACTCGGGCCTATCCGTACTTTATGTTTGCGCGGAAGAATATCCATATTCATCACACGTTGATCAGAAACTTCAAAAGACGTGTCATGTTGATGTAAAATTTGGCTTTTATTATGGCTTATGTTATCGTGATTAACAAAAAACATTACAATCACAAATAAAACAACCAAATACAGACGTTTGAATATACTTCTGTTATTCATCTTTTTCTATTTCTCACCGCTTACCACTGACTGGCTGAACTTGAAATGTACAATTACCATACAAACCAGTTCGATAGTCTGATGACAAATTATGTTGACTCAAGCCTGCAGGAAACGCTTGTTGCAGATATTTATCACGCCTAACCATCGACAACGTACAGGGTAAAAATACCGCCGTACATCATCTGTGCGTTGCCGTTTGGATCGCCATTTTTCTCGACGGAGGATTCGAGGTATAAATATCCTTGATTTTATCAACACTGAGTCAGTTCACCTCCAATGATTCACGGCATTCTTTCTGGTCTAGAGTCGCCATGTATATCCACTACAGATGATCAACTGTCAACATGATTTTCTTGTTATACATCGGCCCATGCCGTCAGTTATCTCCATCTTTCGCTGAATTTCGCAAAATCCTCTCTAATTTTTGTTTTGTTGGGTAGATAACAGTAAAATAACGAATAGAAGACTTCAATTTAAGTACAAATATATGAATAGAGGATGTGTATGTCAAGCTACCTTTCATTTTTGGATGTTATTGCAATACTGTACGCCAGTGTACGGTGACTATGTGACTGTACGGTGCGCAGTTGAGATTACTTAATTAATTCCATATCTAATTGACAGAAGTAAGCTTATCATGGTCCTAATTAAATCGATTCAATTCTTAAGTTTTCCATTCATTTCTGGTAACAAACGTGGGAAAACAATAACCAAACGAAAAGTGAAAAAACAACATTTTCCTCTTGGGTCGATTATATGGGCCGATTTACTCAGAAAAACTTTTATCATAATCAGAAAGTTAGAACCATTTCTAAGAGAATGATGTTCTTATTACACCCGAAATTGTATCAATTTTCATCAAATAATTTTTTTTAAAACCATCATCATTGTTTTTGCTTCAAATAAGTTAATTTCGTCACCGTATAGAAAACTGTACTACTATATTATTGACGCTGTGCGGTGACGCCTGTTCACGTGATGGCTAGGCCTGTGATGGCTAGGCCTGTGATTTATGTCATAAGAACTCAACAATACAACTAATCAATTATTGAATATAATTATTGTTTCCTAAATAAATAAAACTACATGTAACACAATATACCATGCCACAAAATTAATAAATAAAAAGCCTGAAAGAAATGGTCATTACACAATGAATTGAAACTTGGGCTTAAATCATTTAAACACATTGCAAAATATTTTCGACAAAATCATCTAAAAGAAACGAAATGAACATACTTTCAATGAAATGTTTTGCAAGGGTCAAGCTGGCAAAGTATCAATTTCAATATGTAGAGTCCAGTCTTCACCATGACACCCGTTTAGTGTCATTCAGTTCGTTATTTGTTATACAACGGAATGCAGTTACGTGAAATAGCGTGTTCTGATTGGCTGGAATTGGACATATCTTGCCTAGCTATGTTTGGATTTCCGATTATACAACTGGGGGTTCAGAATTGACAACTTTGGCCCAAAATCACTTAGATTGGTGAAAAACTGCATGATTTTTGCTCGAATCCCTCGAATACTCCCGCTGGCCACGGGCCTGGTAACATTTGTCCTTCTTTGGGCACACGTTTCGTCTGCTTGCTTTGCATACCACTTTAAGAGTAAATGAAAGGTTCACATTGAGCTCTCTTTTACCTATACCAAATGTGAGTACTTTAATTTTTATCTTTTTTTTATTATTTTATTTTTTGAATACTTTTTGTTAAATCAACCAAAATTTCCTTTGTATAGCCATATTATTGAGAGGTCTAAGAAAATGTTGTATGCTCTTTTGTTCCAACAAGGTTCGGAAAGATATTTTATTTCATGCTCAAGAATTGGTAGAAATGAACAAAAAACAATTGCACTAAAAACAAAAATTGTTCACAAAAACAAATGATATAAAATATATGTAAATAATTTTCTCATTAAATTGTTGTCAATCAGTGACTAATACGAGTACATAAAGGACAGTGTTTTTTACAGAATGTTTCCAATAATTGGTTTGAAAGAAAAACGATGTTCTTTTGAATTTTTGAAACTGAAACTAACTTGGATGAAGACTATGTAACGAAAATACTTTCTTTTCATGCTTCTAACAAATGTTATTGTAAATGTAAAATGTAAAATGTAAACGAAGCCGTAAATTATCTAATTTTAATATCTTTTTAACCGAATTATGAATAAATACACACATAAAATGGAGTTATTTTGGTTTTATATATATTTCTTACAATTCAAGTATTTACAATATTTACAAGTATTTACAATATTTACAAGTATATACAACATTTACATTTACTATATACAACATTTATTCTCATTGACTGAATCACCAATTGACCCAGTTGTCTATCATTGACTGAATCACCAATTGACCCAGTTGTTTATCATTGACTGAATCACCAACTGACCAAGTTGTCTATCATTGACTGAATCACCAATTGACCCAGTTGATTATCATTGCCTGAATCACCAAATGACCCAGTTGTCTATCATTGACTGAATCACAAATTGACTCAGTTGTTTATTATTGACTGAATCACCAATTGACCCAGTTATACATCATTGACTGAATCACCAATTGACCCAGTTGTCTATCATTGACTGAATCACCAATTGACCCAGTTGTTTATCATTGACTGAATCACCAATTGACCCAGTTGTTTATCATTGACTGAATCACCAACTGACCAAGTTGTCTATCATTGACTGAATCACCAATTGACCCAGTTGATTATCATTGCCTGAATCACCAAATGACCCAGTTGTCTATCATTGACTGAATCACAAATTGACTCAGTTGTTTATGATTGACTGAATCACCAATTGACCCAGTTATACATCATTGACTGAATCACCAATTGACCCAGTTGTCTATCATTGACTGAATCACAAATTGACCCAATTATACATCATTGATTGAATCACCAATTGACTCAGTTCTTTATCATAATATAACCATGTACTGGAACTAGTTATCTAATTGGATCTTTAGACATGAAGTCGGAAAACTAATTATTCATAGATCGTACGAATACGTAATATGCTGAATGTGCGAACTTCCACAGGCACCTACATTGGCCTGGTCTTCATCTTTGAAATTATGAAATCCAGAACGAACTCTCAATATGATCGTATAAATGTTGAATCGAATCACATACACATATTTATCGTATGTGCATCAAGACAAGTCTCGTACTGGTTTCCGTTGGTGGAATCAAATCGATTGGCCCTGTACAGTCGATTTGGATGTCCATTACGAACTGTCCCATCACTGTGTCGCATATCGTGTACATTTTTCGGACGAGATTTTGATATACGATATATATGGAGCTCTTTCCAATCGGTTGTCAGTAAATCATTTTAGCATATCTTTCAATTGATTGGGTTATTGTCCTATGGCACGCTTCACACTGTTCACAATGTTCTCTAGTTTCTTTTTAATCGTCTTCCTAATTTTTTTGAAGCCCTGCTTGATCGTCTTTGACGGTTTTGTCTCCTTTGTCTTTTCTTTAGTGTTATTGTTTAACGACTGTGTTATTTTTGATTGGTTGATTTCTTCAGCAACATAGTCACGGCCCAATGCTTTGGTCACTTTAAGCAGTTCACGTTTGTTCAAGTGGGGGTTGTTGGCTGACATTATCCTATACTGCATTAATGTTATAGGCTCGGGGACGTTGAGTGTTGGCGTCACAAACATAGGGCTGGCTGATCGTCGTGATGTTGTCAAGTCATCGTTATGTTCTATTGAGCGTGGACTATCTGCAAAACAGTAAATCAAAACTGCACTTTTTCTATCGTATACTTTTTGAAATATTAGCTGATAAAAATTTAAGATATAAAATCATCGTTATGTTCTATTGAGCGTGGACTATCTGCAAAACAGTAAGTCAATGTTGTACTTTTTCTATCATATACTTTTTTGAAATATTAACTTTGTTTGCCGAAATTTAAAATAAAAATGGATTATCAGTCCGTCTTGTATTATATTCACTTTTTAAGCTAGTTACTCAATATTTACGCCGTTTTGAGAACTTTAACTTGTTCAGCTTCTTAGTATGATTTTGAAAAATCAGAATTTATATCATTGTTAGGAGAGTTAAAAACAATTTTACATGAATTCACCATTAGTTTTTACACATTGTAAAATTCATGAACTCTTTCTTACCAGATTCATTTCTGTTGTGATAGCTTCTGTTCATATTCGGGAGGGACATCTTGTTAGTTCCAACAGCCCACGTCTGTTCACGGGCTTGGGCTCGCCTCACTTCGGCCATAGTAGTACGGTATTCTGCTAGGAGGAAGCTCTTTGGGATTCCAGCTGCCTGGCTCATTTCTTCAACAATCTCATCTTTCCTCGCATTGTTAGAATCATAGAATTCCTCGCCTAACATCACTTCAATACATGCTTTAAGTCGATCTTCTTGCTCAACCAGGCTCAATTCTTCATATTGCAATGGACGTTCTTTTGGTTCCTCTATCTCTGGCTGGATGTTCAAGGGATTTTCCGCATTATATGTTACTTCGTGCATTAACCTCAGTTGTTCACGGGGGTTCTTCCCAATTATAATTTGTTTTTGTACATTAGGATGTAACTGAGCATATGTTACAATGCCTGGGGGTAAGTCTTCCGGATTAAGACGTTTGGGTTTTTCAGGTTCCTTTTCTACCTTTTGGCCACGCCTATTCAGGAGTTTTGTTTGGGGTCTCAATCCCACATTGGTACCTGGCCCTGGTGCAGGTTTACCTCTTTGAACACCGCCGACAGCCCCTAAAGCACGAGGAGACGTGTTTCCTTTGGGATTAGTCAATCTAAATTGGTTTTTTCCAACTGTGATCGTCCTAGATTTTTCCTCGCTCGGAGCAGAGGAGGGCATTTCCAGTCCTATTTTTCCTTGAGTGGCACTTTTGTGTTGAACTCCCAATCTTTGCGATCTTTGACCCGGGTGTGGAAGTCCAAGACCTATTCTTTCTGGGTTTTGACCTGGGCGTGGAAGCCCTAATTCAATACCTTCCCCCGATTCCTCAGACTCGAGAAGGTCATCGTCAACGTATGAGTCACTTGCCATTTGCGGAGTTGTCTGTAATGGACCGAATTTGGTAGGATTCACATTACCATATGTTGACATTTTTGGTTGAATGCCTCCACCACTAGGGCTTTGATGCATCCTTGTATTGCTTTTGTTTTGGAACACACTACCATCCAAATGTGAGGTGTTTCGTTGGCTCTTGGAACCACCATCCAAGGGGTATTTGTTTTTCTTCTTAATAAAGGTCGTAGTTCCACACGTACCGGTTGGCTCTATTGAAGTGTTCTTTCCTTTAGCCATTAGAGCTGATATATTATCAGGATTGGGATTAAGTCCAAGTGGTGTTAGTCCTGCTGAAGACATGGGAGCTATCTCAGTGTTTCTGCCTTTTGAGAGAAGGCCAGCCACATTATCATTAGGTTTGGACTCTTCTATGAAGTCAATCAGTGGTCCTGGCGCAAAAGCTGGTTTACGTGGGACATCTTTGAAAATAGGATTTTTTTCAATCCGCTTATCTTCCTCGGGAAAGAATTTTAAAGGCCCTGGTTTGAATGCAGCCTTGCGAGGAACACCAAAGTCTTTTAAGGCAGGGTCGCTTATTTTTCCTTGTTTGGAAAGCTGTGCTATTTCTTCATTTATTTTTTCTGCCTCGACTTCCTTTGTTCTTTCATTTTCTTCTTCCATTGCTTCCTCTTCATACAGCTCCAGTGCTCTTTCTCTTTCTAATTCTCTTAGCTTCTTCCCCTCTTCCTCTTGAATTCGCTTTTCCTCTTGTTTTCTAAGTTGAACTTGTCTCTCCCTTTCCTCATCTGCTCTCCTCATTTCCTCCCTCAAAGCCAATTGTCGTCTTCTTTGTTCTTCTTCTTTTACTTCTTGATTTTTTCGTCTTAATTTCTCTAATCTCTTTCTTTCAATTTCTTTCTTTTCTTGTTCAGCTTGTTGTTTCATTTCCTCTCGCCGCTGCTTGCTTGCATTTTGTTTTTTTCTTGTCTCAGTTTCCCATTTTCGTTGGTCTTCTTCTTGTTTTCGTTTTTCCTTTTCAGCCTCTTGCTTCTCACTTGCAAGTTTCTTGGCCTCTTCTTTCTTAACTCTTTCTTCTATTTTTCTTCTCACTTCCTCATCTATCAGTCTCCGTCTTTCATCTGCCTTTCTTTTCTCCTCCTCAACTTTCTTTCTTTCGGCCTCGGCTATGTCCTTCTCTTCCTGCTCCTGTATTTCTTTAAGTATTTGCATCTCTTGTTTCTTCTTTTCCTTTAATTTCTGCTCTTCTTCGGCTTTCTGCTTTTCCTTTAATTTTTCTTCCTCTTCTGCTTTCTGCTTTTCCTTTAGTTTCTGCTCCTCTTCGGCTTTCTGCTTTTCCTTTAATTTCTGTTCCTCTTCAGCTTTCTGCTTTTCCTTTAATTTCAGTTCCTCTTCGGCTTTCTGCTTTTCCTTTAGTTTCTGCTCTTCTTCGGCTTTCTGCTTTTCCTTTAATTTCTGCTCTTCTTCGGCTTTCTGCTTTTCCTTTAGTTTCTGCTCCTCTTCAGCTTTCTGCTTTTCCTTTAATTTCAGTTCCTCTTCGGCTTTCTGCTTTTCCTTTAGTTTCTGCTCCTCTTCGACTTTCTGCTTTTCCTTTAATTTCTGCTCTTCTTCGGCTTTCTGCTTTTCCTTTAATTTCTGCTCCTCTTCGGCTTTCTGCTTTTCCTTTAATTTCAATTCCTCTTTAGCTTTCTGCTTTTCCTTTAATTTCTGCTCCTCTTCGGCTTTCTGCTTTTCCTTTAATTTCCATTCCTCTTCGGCTTTCTGCTTTTCCTTTAGTTTCTGCTCCTCTTTGGCTTTCTGCTTTTCCTTTAATTTCTGCTCTTCTTCGGCTTTCTGCTTTTCCTTTAATTTTTCTTCCTCTTCGGCTTTCTGCTTTTCATTTAGTTTCTGCTCCTCTTCGGCTTTCTGATTTTCCTTTAATTTCTGCTCCTCTTCGGCTTTCTGCTTTTCTTTAAAGTTCTGTTCCTCTTCGGCTTTCTGCTTTTCCTTCAATTTCTGTTCCTCTTCGGCTTTCTGCTTTTCATTTGGCTTTATAGGTTCATATTCAGCATAGAGTAATGCTTTTTCTTTTCTTTGTCGTTCTTCTTGCTTTGACAATTTTTCTCCACGATTTTGTATTTTGCAATCTTTGTTAAGAGGTTCTTTCTCCTTTTTAGGAATTTCATAAATATTGTCAAATTCGTCATCAAGTTGTACATCACTTACTACATCTTCTTCATCACTACCATATGTCTTAAGGTCATCACTTTCACTGTCATTCGGAACCATACTTGCAAAAGATACGCTTTTCTTCGCTACAGGTTTTAAAGGAGTTGGTACCATGAGATCTTTCATTTTCTCAAACTCACGTTTATCATTTTCGAATTGTATTTGTTGTTGTTTCAAGTCATTTTCTTTTGCTTCAATCTCTAGGTCTTTCTTCTTAAAGTCCATTTCTTTCGAACTCATTTCATGGCTTTTCTTTTTGAACTCCATCTCCCTTGCATTCACATCATCCCATTTCTTTTTAAATCCATTTGCTTCTGTATCAATTGCTTGGCTTTTCATTTGTAATTCAACCTCTTTAGTTTTTATTTCATGTTCCTCCTTCTTGCATTGCATCTCTTTTTTCCAAAATTTTGCATCTATTTCTCTTGCTTTCTTTTCAAACTCTAATTCTCTCATTTTGTTCATTTCCTCAAATTCCTCTTCAAGTCGTTGTTGTTCGCTTTTGAGCTTTGCCAGCTTTAGTTTGCCTTCCTTTAGTCGCTCTGTATCAATTTTGTTAACTTCGTCACTGGATGCCAGTGATACCTTTTTCATTTCAATCGTCTTCTTTTCAAATTCAAGATTAGTTCTATCAGCTACTACCTTAGAAATTTCTCCATTTAGTTCTTCTTTCAATTTTTCCAGTCGATTATTTTCGGCTTCTACAATCTTCTTACTTGCTTCAAGAGAATCTTCATTTGCCTTTAGAATACCCCGATCTTGTTCATGTTTCATCTCCCTGCAAGTATCTGTTGTAGGACGATTTAACTCTTTCTGTTCAACTGCAGTATTTTTGGCCGTCTGCACCAATTCATTTGTCCCATCAATCTGAGCTGGAGGTGGTGCTATTAGACTTGCTCTCATCTTTTTCACTTCATTTTGCAGCTCGCTCAATTGAGTTTTTACTCGTTCTTCTTGTTTCCCAAACAAATCCTGAAGCATTGTTACATTTCGAATGTCCACTTCAGTTTCATTTAGAGGCACACATATCTCATCTCTCAATTCAACATTCTCCTTAGCCGTATCTCCAATTTCCTTTGTGAGAAGAGACTGATTTATCTCATCGGCGACGGGAAATTCATCATGTGCACTATTAGTCTGGTTTACCCGTTCATCGTCATCAGCAGTTTTCATCTGCTGGGTGATCGTATTATTAGGATCGTCGATGACATTATCATATGTATGTTTTCCATATTTGTCATAATATTCGTGGATAACTGGCGCGTATATTAAGTCGCCTGAGGTTACGTGCCAATTCGAATTTGTATTGGTAATAGGTCTAAGCCTATCAAGACCACCAAACAATTCATTTTCAGATCCCTTGCTGTAATTTTGACTTGATTTATCGACAGAATGATTATTTGGTTTCTGCTTTGACGTTTGGTTTAAGTTTTCAAAGAGGTCAGTCTTTTCTTTCTCGAACTTTTCCAGCTCTTTATACTTTGCAGCCCGATGACTGAGCTTTTCTTTCAGTGATGTACCAACGTATTCATAAACGTCATCCGGGATTTTAAGCTGAAGATGTAATTCGACAGAAGACTTGCCAAGTTCAGCTTTGCTTGAAGGATGCTCTTCAATGGGAGTAGTGCGGCTTGTGTAGTTTGGCACAGGTATCATGTCAGCAGTGACGGTACGATCAAACATGCCATCGAAACGTAGCTATTAAAAGTAAAGATGATTATGAAATTAGCTCGACTAGAAATCAAAACAATTATAACGTTGATTAAAATGTTAAAATAAGTTAGTGCAAATATTTTTGTTGGTAATTCATTAAATAAGTAGATAAAAAGTCAATGATAAGCTCTGGACGTGTGATTGAAACATATATTGTCGTCTTCTGTCATCTGGTATTCAATCAGGTGTTACAACGGCAATGGTGGGCTATTTTAATAAGGCATTAAACGAAGGGCTCAATAATCAGCTCACGTAAACAGGTATGAAATGAGGAGATGAAAGGGCAATGATCAGTTCTTGTAATAAGGTTTCCAATGTAAAGATGAAAGGCCAATGATCAGTTCATGTAATTAGGTATTCAATGAAAAGATGAAAGGCCAATGATCAGCTCTTGTAATAGGTATTGAATGAAAAGATGAAAGGCCAATGATCAGTTTTTCTTATAAGGTATCTAATGAGGAGATGAAAGGCCAGTGATCAGTTCATGTAATAAGGTATTCGATGAAAAGATGAAACGCCAATGATCAGTTCTTGTAACAAGGTATTCGATGAAAAGATGAAACGCCAATGATCAGTTCTTGTAATAAGCTATTCAATGAAAAGATGAAACGCCAATGATAAGTTCTTGTAATAAGGTATTGAATGAAAAGATGAAAGGTCGATGATCAGTTCTTCTAATAAGGTATATAATGAGGAGATGAAAGGCCAATGATCAGTTCTTGTAATAAGGTATTCAATGAAGAGATGAAAGGCCAATGATCAGTTCTTGTAATAAGGTATTCAATGAAGAGATGAAAGGCAAATGATCAGTTCATGTAATAAGGTATTCAATGAAGAGATGAAAGGCCAATGATCAGTTCTTGTAACAAGGTATTCAATGAAGAGATGAAAGGCCAACGATCAGTTCTTGTAACAAGGTATTCGATGAAGAGATGAAAGGCCAATGATCAGTTCTTGTTATAAGGTATTCAATGAAGAGATGAAAGGCCAATGATCAGTTCATGTAATAAGGTATTCAATGAAGAGATGAAAGGCCAATGATCAGTTCTTGTAACAAGGTATTCGATGAAGAGATGAAAGGCCAATGATCAGTTCTTGTTATAAGGTATTCAATGAAGAGATGAAAGGCCAATGATCAGTTCATGTAATAAGGTATTCAATGAAAAGATGAAAGGCCAATGATCAATTCTTGTAATAAGGTATTCAACGAAAAGATGAAAGGGCGGTGATAAGTTCATGTAATAGGGTATTCCATGAAAAGATGAAAGGCTTATGATCAGATCTTGTAAGAGATATTTAGCAAGATGATATGGCAATCATTCAATGAAGAGATGAAATGGCAATGATCGGCTCTTTCATAAGGCATAAATAGCTATTCAATGAGGATATGAAAGGGCGTTGATCACCACTTAGAATACTGTATTCGATGAGGAGATGATAGGGTAGTGATCACCATTTGAAATCACGACACGCTTACAATGAGGGTGAAAGGACAGTTATCACCATTTGAAATCACGTTTTCAAAGAGGAGATGAAAGGAGAGTAATTACTCTTTTAAATTAGGTATACAATGAGGGTATGAAGGGGCAATGATTACAACTTAGAATCCTGTGTTCAATGAGGAGATGAAAGGGCAGTGATCACCATTTGAAATCATGTATACAATGAGGAGATGAAAGGAGAGTGATTACTATTTGAAATCAGGTATTCAATGACAAGATGGGCTGGCAGGTCTTAAAATACGGTATTCAATGATGAGATGAAAAGTCAGTAACAGATATATGGAACTTCATTTTAATTTAAGCTAGATACACCTTTAAGATTTAAGCTTTATATTAAGCGAAGTGATATTCAGTTCAGATATACGAGTACATCCTACATTAGGAAAGAAAAGTTGAATGATTTAGAATTAAATTAATAACTGTTATACTTACACCCTCGCCCATGACATAGTAACCGCCCAGTTGGTTTGCAAACTGTCCATTAATCCTACAAAAATATAGAAATTCTACTTTGATATATTCTATCTAAGTTTATTTACAAAGACTCAAAGGTCCATTAATCCTAAAATAAGAAATTCTGTTTTGATGTATTTATATGAGGTTAAAAGAAGAATGAAGGAAAAATTTAAAGTGTGAATATCAAAGTTAAAGGTTTCTAGTAAATGGATGAACACTGTTTTTGAAATGTACACTGTTTTTAAATGTAACCAGTTGCACCATTAACACTAACCTTTTTAGTTTCCTAATGAACTCAAGAGAGTGATATTTCTTTCCCTCCCTAGTTCTACATACTGTCATCAACATTGGTTGAACGTGCATTGTTATATCCAGGATACACGGATCTACAATGAGAGATACTTTCAAATTAGAATCAGAGATACAAGGGTAAACACAATTGGATTAACGTGTATGGTAGTATCCAAGATACATGGGTCTACAATTAAAGGTACTTTCAAGCTAGAATCAGAGATACAGGAGTAATGAAATTAGGTAAACGACTGAACGTGCATGGTTATATCCAGGATACATGGGTCTACAATTAAAGGTACTTTCAATCTATAAAGGGGCAAAAAATTGGGTAAACGTGCATGGTTATAACCAGGATATACGGGTCTACAATGAGAGATACGTTCAAGCTAGAGGCAGAGATACAAGGTTAAACGAAATAGGTTGAACGCGCATAGTTATATCCAGGGTACACGGGACTACAATGAAAGATACCTTCAAGCTACATGTAGACCCAGAGATACAAGGGTACTTGAACGAAATAGGTTGAGCATGCATGGTTATATCCAGGATACACGGGTCTACAATGAGAGCTACGTTCAAGCTAGAGTCAACATACATAGATCTATCCAGGATATACTGATCTACTATGAATGAGATACTTTTAAGCGGAGATACAGGGGTAACAAAATAGGTTGAACGTCAATGGTTATATCCAGGATACCAGGATTCACAATGAGAGATACTTTCAAGCTGGAACCAGACATACAGGAGTTTTTTTTGTTTTTCTTTAATTTAATAAACGTGCGTGATTCTATCAAGTATGCATGGTCTACAATGAAAAATTCCAAACTAGAGTCACTGTGAGAGAAAATTTAAGCTAAATTTAGAGATACAGGGGTTACAAAATTGGTTGAACATGCATGGTTATATTCAGGATACACCGTTTTAAATTCGTACTTATATAACTTAATTATTACTTGTAATTATAGACACCAGAATTTGAAGGAAGAGGAAGACATTTCAGTATAATAATGACTGTTGTGGGTATATATTTCAGTATATTTAACTGAATTTTGTAAGGAGGAAATCGGATGAATCTTCGAAGAGGATACATTTTGCAACAGATAAATATTCGAAAGGGGGATAAATCAGTACAGATGAAATTAAGTAGGGGAATATATTTTTGTATTTTGAAAGGAGGACATGTTTCAGTGTAGATAACATTTGGAAGGGGGACATAATTGGGTATAGATGAATCTTAGAAGGGGATACCTATTGCTACCGTTAATTTAGATTTTGGTTGGATTAATCTTGAAAGGATAGATGAATGTGGTATAGATGAATCTTGGAATGGTGAGACATAGAGGATATCCATGATAGGATTTTTAAGGGATATTATTTTCATCTATGAGTGAGTATCGAAATCGGACATATCCACATGAGTAAGCGCGAAGATAGAATGGAGATGTGCGATATTCATTGTTGAAAATCGTAATGAATGAAAGACAAAGAACATAGTTTTCATGAATTTCAAAATATTTCTAATTTTGGTGTTAAATGTAAAATTATAACTTCACAATAAAATCAATTAAAACGTATAAACATTAAAAACTCAAATATTTAGTGGTACTGTTATGTAGAGTGATTAAATGAAACCTGGAATAAAACATAAATAATCGTATACTAGTAATGGTCGGAACTAGTAGACAATCAAACTAGGCTGTTATTTGTCAAACCATTTTAGGTGTTCGATTAATTAAACTAATGAAAAATAGTTCTATGTAAGTTCATCTCTCTGGTTAATATATCAGAAACAAGTCAAATTCTTTACTTCAGAGAATATTTTTAATTTATTATTTTATATTTTTATTATTTAATCAATAAATTAAAAATATTCTCTGAAGTAAAGAATTTGACTTGTTTCTAATGAAAAATAGTATCCAGTATGATAAATTCGGTAAAGATAGATGGATCGTGGAAGTGTATTCTTAGTAGTACATTTCGATGAAGATGACATTTGAAAGAGGAACGTTTCGATATTATGGATTAATGTTGGAATATACCATATTCTTACATTCGTTTGCCTCAGTTGTCTGCTTTCTGAAGTTGTGCCAGTTGACATTAACGAAACTTTCCTGGTTGGGTGTGGCGTAGCTGATGTTTCGCCATTCCCGAAATGCATCCTCCAAACACTCAACGTACCTGAAAGCAGATTGTTTAAAAGTAACGTTAAAATGGAATAAGAATAAAATTAAAATAATCCATTTTCTCCTCATCATTAAGAGGGGGATTAACCCCAGAGTTCAAAGATGACGTACGCTTATAATGTAAACCTGTATTGAGATGACCCACGTCTCTGATTGGTCAAATCGACAAACAAAAATGGCGGATTCAAAATTTTCTAATAACGCTTCGAATAATATTCTGGCGTGTTAACCAATATCATAGCTTGTTATTTCACATCAAGATAAAGAAAGATGTAAGGCATATGCTTGAATCGATTAAAAGATCAGAACGACGCGTTATATTCGAAAACTAACTGGTGAGAATTTGCGTAAACGAAGGTGGTACGCAAGAGACGTAATATGTGAGTCATCGCCAAAGCTCTGGGGCTATCCCTCATCTTTCATCATTCAGAACTGAAAGATTGCTAAACCTGCGCAGTCAATTATATTTAATATTTTGCAGCATGGATCATTGGATCTTTATCTGAATGGGTACATTCTTTATTCTTATACCAAATAGTCATACGTAAAATACCTGCAGCAATTGATGGATTATAATTACTGTTGCAGATTTTGTGAAAACGCAAATGGAATACATCAAAAAGCAAAATATTTAGAGGGATTATTATAACATATTTATGATTAATTCAGATTCAGATCTAAAGATGGTGACAAAATTGCAATCAAAGTGTACTATTGATAAACCAAATGTATTCTTTACTCCTCAAAATAGAATACTAGCATCTCCCAAAGGATCCGTGATATCTTGTCAATTGGTGAAGTTATTTAGACTCATGTCTAAATTCTCCAAAATAATACATATGATAACCAAATCTATAGAAAAATGAACACACTATTTGTAAAAATCTTTAGTTTTCCTAAAAAATGATGCAGTTTTAGAAAACAGATATAACAAGGAATGAAATGAGTCCAAAATACGATAAGATTTGTGAAGATTGCTCGCTACGTAGATCTGACAATACATTTAACCCTCGTCAATGAATGGGAATAAGATATTAAACTAAACCCTCGATCGTTTATTGAAGATTTTTTCCTAATCCCCCCCCTCCCAATGGTAATCATGTAATATAGTATGTTAGTAGTACCGTCTAGTGTTTTCTACATGAAATCTGTAAATATTATTGCATTTATCATTTAATTGCATTTAATGAAGTAAACATATTGCAAAGCAATTGAATTGTACCGCATCTTCTTCCCATGGACAACCTGACAAAACTCGAATGAGGCAAACGATGGGTGCTTCGGTATGTAACGATCGCTGGCATTAAACGCATTCTTAATTAAATATCGAGACGGGATATAAGGTCTACTTTGAACAACGCCTGCCTTATCTTAACCATATAATGTATTTTAGGTCCGCTGGGATTTTCAGGAAACTATAAATAAGCTAGTGAATTAAAAAGGATTTGAAAAAATTAGTCAAATCGTTATATTAAGGAAACAATACAAATACATTATAATTTAATATAATAAATATACGTAACCTTTATAACATAATACTTACTGTAATTTGTCAGCCGCTCATTTACAGTTCTACATTTATAGTACAAGATGGCGACATAGCGAAATAGGAAAAACGATTCGATTCGTAAAACAGACCGAAAAGCTTGAATTTGAATGCCAAACACGTCCAGTACAAGAGAAAATTTATGAATTTGTCATTACCTTGAAATGATTCGTCTCTGTTCATCTCTCCGCTTATGGAGTAACGCTCCACTTGCTCGAAACATGATATTTTGTGGTTTAGTATTCCCAGGTATATCCGATCGCCTCGAGTAAGATTTTATATAAACATTGCTTAGAAGCGATATAAACAAAACTGCACTTGTGACGTAATAAGATTTAGAGGAGTGACGACTGACGAAACAATGTATCTTCTAGACACGGTGTGGTTGATAGGGTAATTAATATGACGTCACTAGATTGAGAATTTTGTTATTCAGACCCCTTATGAGCATACAATACAGCTATTGACAGTATATCAACAAGGGGGTCGAATGTCTCAAGATGCACCAGGCATATTTGCCCACTGTGCAAATTTCTATGAATCGATACATAGGCTACATATGAAATATTAATATTCAATTTTCTAAAGGTATAAAATCTTACTAAAAGCATGGACTTTAATGTAAAAAATGCATAGAGTTGACTTATAGAGCTAGAGATAAAGTGTTGATTAAATTATTAAAGTATTGTCCTAATGTACATGAACTGACCTGCAGTTAGTTACACATTTTAAAATGATTAATCACAGATTGTTTAAATGCTGGCACTTGAAGATCTAAAATGTTAAGGTAATTATTCCATTCCAAGGTTCTTACTTGTAGGCTTTAAGACTCCGGAGATTCTCGCGATACCGCGAAAAATCCGGGGTCTAAAAATTTCCTGGTGAGAACCCTGCACTCCACTATTGTTCTTTTAATAAAACTGTATATATATATGACTATATTAGTCTGTCCTTTGGGGATTATGTACTTTAAAGGATGAGAGTTCCCTGTTGGGACATATTGGTCATGGGTATGATGTAGGGAGGGATGTTAATGGTTACATGCCTTGCTCAAAGATGGCCTTATTTCTTAAAGTGTAATACCTAATATGGCAGAAATTGAATTATATTATTCGAAACTTTTATTCAAAATTTTAAATCCGAAATTTTGTTTTCGCTATTTAATATGTCATTTGACCAATTCTGAGGGTCATCTTTAATAAATCCATTGAAGTTGAAGTCATATATACTCTGGGGTTTCCCTCCTCTTGTGTGAATTAATTTTTTAAAATAAATAAAACGAGTGCTCGTCAATACCCGGGCGTCAATACTTGTAAGCAGTACTGTAACCGAGATAAATTGTCATTATTTGTCTCCGTTCACCGGATTTCAGAGGGCGGGGATAAGCAATGATATCTAGATACAAGTTCATACTTCGACCATGCACGCAGAGTCTAGTTATGTACTACCTATTATATCCCCCCCCCCCATTACTATTCGATTTTTCCTCAAATAGTCTTTAATTATATGATTGGCAATATATTTTAGGCCAACATGGATTTTCAGAAACATGAATAGGTCTATGCTATTGCATTTAAAAGCTTTGGAAAGATTAACATATCATTAATATAACAGAAGCTATAAAATAACGTTAATTTAATGGTATTTACGTAACTTTTATTTTTCTTATAATACGTAATGTTCTATCCTGTCAGTCGCTCTTTAAAAATCATCTATTTCTAGTACAAAATGGCGACAAACGAAATACGACAGTGTAAAACAATTGGTGAATGCAAAATCGATCGAAAAGGAGTGAATTTGCTAGTAAACACGTCCAGTACCCGAGAAGAATTATGAATTTTGTGATTACCTTGAAATTATTCGTCTCTGTTCATCTCTCCGCATATGGAGTAACGCTCCGCTCGCTCGAAACATGATCTTTTGTGAAAATGCAATCGCCTCGAGTAAGATTTTCATTAGATATTTACATTGCTAGGAAGCAAATACATACAAAAGTGTATCTATGACGTAATCAAATGAAAGAAATGACTAAACAATGTATTTTCTGGAAACGATATGGTTGATAGGGTAATTTATATGACGTCATCTTTCCAACAACTGTATTCTGACTCTTGCAATCGAGCGTAGCCAGGTAGCCTAAGTAAACTCAGAATAAGCCTATACTTAGGTCAGCGCTCAGAATAGTTTGTCAAGAGTCAGAATATATAGTTAGGTAGCCAAGAACATTTTAGTCTTCACATGCAGATTTCGCGGTAGCCTATATACCTGCTATCTTTGAAAATGTATAATTCATTGGAAAGGTTTCTACCTTGATTTTTGCATTATATTTAATCTTAAGCTTAAATGATAATATATTAATCTTTTAACTAACAGCATTTTTGGAACCCAAACATTATTTTGAAAGAAAATTGACAATTTATCACAAAATGTCAAGCGTTTTACACCCAGTAAGTCCGTACTTGCTATTTCAGCCCTGGGCTTAAACGGTGGTAATGATACTAATTAACTCATTTCTGCGGGCAAAATAGTGAAAATTTGGACCTTGAACCTTCGGACCTTGGTCCAATATTTCACTATATTGCCGTTTGAAATGACGTTATTGTACTTTTAATTGAATACGGTTTACAACAATACTTATTGAAATAAGACAAGTAATAAAAAATCGCCTTGGCGACTTGAGTGTTATAAAAAAGGTTGCAGACACTAAAGGGTTAAGAATTTTCTCCATCCAAACTACAAACTCTCCCATTCAGCCACCCCTGTGCTAATGTCACGATGACACTGTTCCAAGCTGTGTGTGTTTCTCTGTATAATTTTATAGGCCCGAGATTACAATAGTAAAATGTAAATACAATACACTATGACCCTGTACGATTTGCTGTACGATTCGTGTTAACATACATTCCAACACACAAAGTAAAACTAATTAGGTACACATCTAATCATCATGATCATGATAATTACTCGAAAGCGAACCTCTCGCGCGAGCAGATGGCTCGCCCAGTGAAGATATCAGAGATAGACGTCATCGATATTGCCAAAGAATTTCAAGATGAATATTATTCAGAAACTCCGGAGGATTAGGAAACAAACTTATCGAGGATAAGGCTAGGATGAAGTTCATCCTAGGATAAGGTAAGTATGAGACTATTAGTGTTTGATGAGGCCCGGGGAATACGGCAATAAAATATATCTAATGAAATAAAGTTTCTCGTGTTATATCCTGCTCATCGAATCAGCTTTGTGCATGTGTTATTTAGTTCGGTTATAGCCTGGGGGTTATGAGTATGTGTAAAATATGCTCAGGATACGACATAACACAAAGAACTTTAAATCATTCAGTACATTTTATTACGGCTCTGTGTACTTTAAAACTGCAACCAGAAAATTATCAGAACTGAAGTTATTGTTCAAACTGTACCGATAGGAGAAAAGGAACCGGTTTGGACTAGTATAAAACTGGGGATTCCCCGAATTATTATTCGCTCTCCTTTGATTTTTGATATGAACCAATGATATATGAGGAATTATGACCTACCTGGACTTCTCTGTTCGCGCGCTATAATATAACCAATCATTTCATATGTTTTACTTTAGATTTTTGCTATTAACCAATGGGGTGTGAGGAATTATGACATGCCCAGATCTGCCTGTTAAGAGACAATAAATACCACACTGCATTGCAAGGAATTTTACTTCTGATCGGAATCCTACGAGCCCTACGACATCATAGCAATGGCAGTTGAGTACATACGCACGTTTTTATCCAAACAAGGTTATTATGACCGTGTAGAATTTAGACCAGATAACGTACTTAACGGTCAACAATGTGTGACAGTCTCATCTGAAATCAGACACGGAAAACAGGAAGATTCTAAGTTATATTCTATATGGCTGGACGTACTTCAACATCCAGAGAACTATCCAAAATCTTTGCATAAGTATCAACTCCAACCTGACCTGGGAGGAATGATGGTACTGGAGACGCTTGATGTCACTTTTAAAGTGTATATTAGCACAAGCACATTAACCATAGAAGGTATCTATTTTATCATATTTCATATCGTACATTCCTTTATTTTATGTATTTGATTTTATCCGTTTGCTTGTTTTTTCGTTTGTTAAGCGAAACAGAAGCGCAGTTTTCATGTTTATTTGTATTTACTCGTATATCGATGACAACCAGTATTCTTGTAACCAAAAAGCTCCTTATTCTGCCATTTGTATCTAACACGGCCATTATTTTCTATTCAGCCTGTGATAAACAAGCCTTATCAATATGTTGTTTTTTATAAATATTCATGTGTATTTTTGTATGGATCAACCCCACTATGTTTTATTTTTTATTTAGGCAGTTTTGCAGAAGAATGGTTTTTGAAAAATTTCTTGAGAATACTGGAGAACAGCATTGATGACGACCAGCTCCAATTGGACCAATCTTCAGATGTGGGCAATTCGGTGAGAGGCCAAACCTTTTGATATAATCATAAGCTAAGGTCGATAGAAATAATTTTGAAATAAAGATGGCATGGTAATCGATAGAGAAATGGATGGATTCTGTTGGTGCTGCCATCTTTATATCGGCCCAGAACCTAAATCCATCTCCGTTTTCCTTTTTCCAGGAGCTGATGTCTAAAGAATCTTTAGATTGTGAACTGGCAAATTTGGAGATTGGGGGTATGCGAGATGGCCCTACATATATTTACAAACTTTGGAAGTCACTTCTTAAAATGTGGATATCTGACGGAAATGAAGTGTACATTCTTTCACCATTTTTAGATGATAAACGTTTAAAAGATATTGCCGATACATGTTATGATTACAAATATACATGTAGTTTTCCCAACTCAATTACCATATACACGAGACAAAATTGTAACAATGATCGCCAAATTAGCGATCTAAAAATAGCAATTTCAAAAGATTACGACACTGAAAAGAAGGTTTTCGTGAAGAACGAAGTATTTGACAAGATTATAACTACTTCTAAGCTCTTCCACGGAAAGTGTATCGCCTCTATTAAAGATGACATCTCAAATGTTCTTCTTACGAGTGCCAATTTTCACAGAAGCCATTTTGAATACAGCAACATGGACACTGTGCTTCATTTGAGAATGACCAAGGACCAATTCCTTGAAAATTACATCAATCCCATCAAGTAATTATAAATTCAAGCAAAGAGTGGTTTGGTTTAAGATCTTTGTACAGTGACTTGCAAAACAAATGAGGTTCAGAAAATGGAAAGTGTATAAAAGTTTCAGATGAATTTAGGAGGTGATACTGTGTTTAATCTGTATTTTCCTAGTATATAGACAAGATTATCAACGATTTGAAAAAAGTAAAAGGGTGGTCAAAAAAACTGGAAACCCTTACACCATTTTACTTACTATCTTTATTATTTTAAGAAATAACTTTGCATATTTGTACATCACTCAATTTTCTACCAGCCTACCATATTTCATGACCATCTGATTGATAGTCACCGTGTTACAGCACTTTAAAGAACATTCCCGGTGGCCACTATTGCGCTGAAGACCAACCTGCACATGTCGTCCAAAATGTCCCTACCTATGGGGATATGGCAGAGATAGAGTGTATAATAATGACCCCAGGACACTTGCAGACCTCAAAAGTGAGATCATCTGTATCATTCAGGCCATACCTGCTGAGGAATGCATTTGGATCATTGACAGCTGTGCAGGTTTGCCTACAGCACGATGATGGCCAAACCTGAAGCATGTTGTTTTAAGTGCTGTCAAATTGTGACTATCAGTTTGATGGTCATGCAATATGGTAGCTAGGGTGGTAGGAAATTGAATGATTTACAAATGTGTGAAATATCAGGGAGTAATTTCTTAAAATGACAAAGATATGAGGAAAATGCAGGGTTTCTGTTTTTTTACCACCCTGTAAATGAGATTTTTATGCTTTGATGATAAGAAAGGACTTCATGTTATATTTGATCAGATGCGGTTGAGAAGTAAAAGATAATAAATGTTAGTATGACCTATATAGTCCCGGGGATCTAGCTCTTGAAATCTTCACGGTTTGCTTCAAGACTAGGCCCACTCCTTGTGTTCTTCACAAGGAGTGGGCCTATGTAATCATCATCAATTTTCGACTTATTGTAATAGAGGAAAAAATTGAGAAAATTTGGAGGTATCGGAAATAAAGTCAAATAACGTTTCCATTAATAGTTTAAGGATTTTTATCGCAGGTTAAGTAAATAAAATTCAAAGGTAAAGAGGCTTTAACACGTAAGTTCAATGGAGGAGCTAAGGTTGCAAACTTATGGAGGGGAGTGTATCAGAATTGTGATGATTCCTCTCTCCAAATTTTGGATATAATTTTTTTATTCTCCCCTACCCCAAAGTTTTGAATATCGCTAATTCGATTTAAATTCCGTTGCAATGTGGTTGCTAGGCAAAATCAAGGGCCAAAATTATATTGGAATAATACCAAATCAAGTATTTATCTATTTTCTTACTCATAATCTCTGATCGGTATTTGTTGTACATCTTTAGATAATATATTGTCTTTATAAAGACAAAAAAAAGTTGAATGTGAAATTGTTGATTATTCAATTTCGCGTTACATCATTGATTTCAATAGGATTTCGCGATGCCTGCTATCTTTGAAAATGCATAATTCATTTTAGAAAGTTTTTATCTATATTGACAAGTTTTTATCTTGATGACAAGTAATACCCCTTGCGAAAAAAAGATTGCATCTGGACACTCTGCCATACCTGTTTGTTGCTATAATGTCACAAACGACACGGCTTTCCAAGCTAAGATGTTTGTATTTGGTGACCTCTGTAAACGGAGGCCCGAGAATGCAAAAGTAAAATGTATCGAATAGCGTAGAAGTGACAAAAATTCGTCCATCTTTATCATCCTTATTCTCAGTATAACTCGGTATTTTCAAACAATGAAGACGTCGAAATGTCGTTCTGAAATTATAACCGACTATAAATTCCAAATAAACAGTTCAAAAGATTCGCACCAATATCACGATCATTCCTTGTGAGTTTTGGAATTTTTCGTTCGGAAAAAGACCAAAATTTACTATTCAAATGTTGAAGTGAACAAAATGGCGGCTGTTTGGATTCGAATTTTGTATCGCGACATGCCCACATATGGGACAGAATATCGATGTTGCACTCTGGGAGCCAACCCTCATTGAGATACGTCTAAACAACTCAGAACACTATGACCTTTTTTATGTTCCTTTATAATGTGCTATTGTTAGATTTAGCTGTTACTGAAATTACGATTCGTGTTAACCAACATGTATAGCTGCCTTCGTAGTCAACACACAAAACAAGACTAACCGTTAAGACACATCATGATAATGACCAAGAAGCGCGCGTAGATTGCCCGCCAAGAGAGGATATCAGAAATAGACCTAAAGAATTTGAATAGATGAATATTATTCAGAATATCCGGAGGATTGGGAAAAAAACTTACCGAGAATAAGGTAACGGTTTGTAATATCTGAGGACCAGGGAATACAGTTATAAAATATATCTATTGAAATAAAGTTTCTTGTGTTGCTCATCTTTATCAGCCCTTGTGCATGATGTGTTAGTTTGTAAAGTAAAAATATGTAGTATATTGCACATAGGATACTGTATACACTATGCATTATCAACTGAGTACATCAGTTATAACTTTATCATTCAGTACATTTTATTACGGAAATTGTTATAACCAATACGAGCTAACCCAAAGATTTTCAGAACTCCAGCTATTGTTCACATCATTGATTAAAAAATGTGAATTTTCAGACGAAAAGAAACCAGTTTGGACTAGTTTAAAAGGGGATTCCCCGAATTATTATTTGCTCTACTTAGTTTACCAATCATGTTTTACTTTGAATGGTGTGTGAGGAATTATGAAATGCCTGGACTGGACTTGTCTGTTGCAAAGAATTTTAACCAATCATTTAATATGTTTTACTTTTGATTTTTGATAAGACGTGAGAAATTCGACACGCCTGAGCCTGTCTGTTGAATTACAATAAATACCACACTGCATTGCAAAGAATCTTACTTCTGATCGAATCCCACGGAGGAGCCACCGGGACCGAATACATCGATTGCCATACTACTTATATAAAGCTGTTTGTTAGCACTCATCTCCATAGTTGTCATCATAACAATGGCAGGTGATCAGTTGCAATTGGAGCGATCTTTGGAGGTGAGCAATTAAGTGATAGGACAACCAAAGTCAAAGTCATTGTGAAGCGAGCGAAGTGTGCGTTGGCATGCAGATATTTTTTATTATAATTTTTGCATAATCTGATGATAATTTAATGGATATATTTTAATTTCTATTCGTTGTATTGCAAGTTTATTTATCGCGACCGCCCCCCCCCCCCCCCCCCTATGCAGTTTTGTCGCTCAGTGAGATTATTGTCTGCTTATTGTATTTGCTATTTGTATGGTAGAGATTAAAAGGTGGATTGGATCGAGTGGATTGGATTTGGATTCATGTAAAAGGTGGATTGGATCGGGAATCTTCAAGCTCTAAGCAATTTCCTCCGCCCTAAAGTATTTTGTGATTACTTGGGTCCCTTTAAGGAATCGACAAAGCAATGACAAATACATGGACATACCTCAATTAGCTGATAGATACTCTAAAGTATTCAACTGCTCTCCCTTGTAAATCAACATTAGTAGGACATAATAAACAAAGATCTGTAGATAAAAGCTGTCATTCAAATTGATGTGTGGGTGTTCCCAAGACATTTCTGCCATGTTCTGTTTGAATTGAAAACAGATGATATGGGTCTTCGACTTCAAAAGCATGCCTTATGATTTGTGAAATGTCTAAAATTACCCTTGGAATGAATAAGATTGTGTATCAGGTCACTTTTCTAGCCTACCCAAGCAAAATGATATAACATCTATTATTTGACATTGTGGAAGTGAGGAGAGCATTAATCGTCTGATGGGAGATCAATATAAATTTCCAATCCACCTTTTACATGAATCCAATCCACTCGATCCAATCCACCTTTTAATCTTTACCATTTGTATGCTAGACCCTGGACCATGACTTTACTTAAAACTCGATCTGTCGGTCTCGGTTCAAAGTTGCATATATACAAAAATCGTTGCATAAATGAATATTGAGTCATGTCACGGTGAGCAAGTGTTAACAGCGGAGATTGACCCGGACGTGTTTTTTCAAACGATTTAGACGTGTTTTTTGGAAACTTGAGAGGTAGGTTGATAACTTTGGTTATGAAATTGCTGTCACTTAACTTTATGCAAATGTAAGTAATTTATATTGCTTACCATAATATGTATCCTAACTTCAGGTATCAGCAAACGCGTTATTTGCACGAATGTTATGCTATAGCCTTGTAAAATCGGAAAATGAGCGATTCTGGCAGTGTTACACGTATTTTTGATTGAAAATCACTAGCCTGTCTTGTATTCAATGAATACATTGAATATTTTTTTTGGATTTAACTATTTAGACATGTCCAAAAATATCCCTTCTCAATCGTTAACTCCACTTTCTACATTTACAGTCATTTATGGACGTGTCGCAAAAAGGTGGCGCATTTGTTTTTTAAGGGTATCGCGTGAATGTAACTTTGATTCCCCGGATTATAAGATAATATTCTAATTAAAGTTATATATCATTTTAAAGCTGTTTCGATGAAGTTTTTAGATCAACTACACTCCGTTCACGATTCTTGCGCGTTCTTTTTGAAAAAAGAGTTTTTTACCAAAACATCTGGTAAATATCCCCTGTTGACACGTTACATTTTGAATTATTTTTCGTCTTTAAACGCTCATAACTCAAACAATATATGACTATTATACTTATTTTTGTCTTGATAAAAGGTAGATGGAAGTTTTATTTCAAAGAATGAATTTTAGTAAGCGTCCAATATTGTGACGTCATAGAGTTTGAAAAATAGAATCTGTTGACAGCGACCTTTTTTGCTCATTTTTTGTTACCTTCAACTTTTCAGGTGTACATTAAACAAAAAATACGAGATCAATGTTTAATAAATCAGACATGATTATTTTGCTCTTAAACTCTAGTTTATTAATAAATAGTTGATTTTGTTCGCAAAATTTAAAGTATGTGTTTTCTGTTGGATGTGGAAAAGTAGAGGACGAAATGTTTTCAAAATTCATTAAAATAGGGCTAATTTACGCCATTCGCCTATTTTCAAGTACAGCAACGCGTATATTTTTTTCACCTAAAATATCAATTGAATAGTGTTTTATGGTGCTCCTATCCCATTGTTAATACATATACGATATCAGAGCTAATCGCCTTAAATATTTTGAGATATAGCGGCAAATGTGGAGGACGAAGGGATTTCCATATGTGTACATTTTTCTCAAAAAACGTCACATTCTGTGGTGTTAAAAAGAGAAAATGTGTAACAATGCGTGCGCCACCTTTTTGCGACACGTCATGACAATTTTAAGATAGTTAAAATATAAACACGATCTTTAGAGTAGTGAATATTATTCCACGTTGTTGAATGGATAGTCTGTTTAAACTTAATTAAATAAATGCAAATTTAGTACATATTTCTAGCATTTTTTGTATATAATTGCGAGTACTATGAAGTATGATGGAATAATCGCCAAAATAGATACATGGGTATGAAGAAGAACATCTTAGATTTAGGTAGAAGTCAAGTAATGTTAATTTGTAAAATATAGAATATTCTTACCTTTTTGCTCCATTCTAACGAATGTCGTATTCCATGTTCTTACAAAACACGTCTAAATCGTTTGAAAAATCACGTCTACATTGTTTAGACTTGAGCACCGTGCATGTGCTAATTGGAAATGTTAGACCTATCTCTGTTTTCCCTTATATATTTCCAGAAGTTGATGTCTAAAGAATTGTTAGATAGTCAACTAGAAAATTTGGAGATTGGTGGTATGCGAGAAGGCCCTGGCATTTACAAACTTTGGAAATTCCTTCTTAAAATGTGGATCTCTGACGGAAATGAAGTTTACATTCTATCACCATTTTTAGATGATAAACGTTTAAAAGATATTGCCGATATATGTTATGATTACAAATATAGTTTTCCCAACTCAATTACCATATACACAAGAAAAGATTGTGACCATGATCGCCAAATTAGCGATCTAAAAAAAGCAATTTCAAAAGATTACGACTGTGAAAAGGAGCTTTTCGTGAAGAACGAAGTATTTGACAATATTATAACTTCTTCTAAGCACTTCCACGGAAAGTTTATCGCCTCTATTAAAGATGACATATCAGATGTTCTTCTTACGAGTGCCAATTTTAACAGCAGCCATTTTGAATACAACAATGACACTGTGATTCATAAGAGAATGACCAAGGACCAATTCCTTGAAAATTACATCAATCCTATCAAGTAATTATAAATTCTAGCAGAGTGCATGGTTGGGTTTAAGATATCCTTTGTACAGTGACTTGCTGCTACTTTAAAACTTAGGGGTTTAGTGCTACATCACTTGAGGAAATAGTGTAACGCATGCTTTATCAAAAAAATGTTATAGCATACTCAAAAAGTGTGTATGTAAATAGTGTAAAGGCTAGAATAACAAAGTTGTACACGCGTTTAAATTTTAGTTTTCACTTATCTATGAGAATACACGGGCGTACCAAGGATTTTCCAAGGGTGATATAGGCAAAAAACAGTCTCCACCATCATAGCTTAGACTTGAAACCTACCCTTTCCACCTCATTCGCGGAGCACATAGTTCTTCTTTCCTCCAGGTTTCCTTCTCCTCAGCGCCATTGTCGAAAGCCCTGGGGATTTGCTCAAAACTCAGAGGGATGCGGTTGCACCCCGAATGCATCCCCTCTGAGTACGCCCATGGAATGGACTTAAAAAGTGGAAAGGCGTTGTGCAAAATGAGATCCAGAAAATGTATAAAAGTTTCAGATGAATTTAGTAGGTGATACTGTGTTTAATCTATATTTTAATAGCTATAGACAAGATTATTAACTATTTGAAAAAAAAAGTAAAATAAATTAGATTTTTATGCTTTGATTAGAAATGACTTTATGTTATATTTGATCAGATGCGGTTGAGAAGTAAAAGATAATAAATGTCAGTATGACCTAGCCCCAGGGATCTAACTCTTGATCATGAAATCTTCCGATGGTTTGCTTCAAGACTGGACCCCCTCCTCCTTGTGTATTTCACCTTCACTATAGAAGCGTGAAATTCATATACGTGGGAACATATTAGGTAAAACACGATAAAATATTTGCTTATTTCGATGATTGCAATAGAGAACACGATGAAAGCCCCTACGCCAGTGATCGTGATGTCATGAGATATGCACAATTAAATCAAAAATTATTGACTGATGAGTGATGACGTAAGATTAAATGGATAAAAGTCATACAATCAATTTACAACGTACTTGTATCACCCTTGGTATACGCAGCTAACGAAAATTGACCGGCACGGGTCAAAAGCTGGACCGGCACGGGTTAACGGTTTTATTTGAATTTAAAACAGCCATAACTTGCTCAATATTGACTTCCTCGTGTCTAATTTGAAATATATGATGCCTCCCGATGCTTTTAAGTACCCCAATTTTTTACAGATTTTTAAACGGACCAAAACTCTCGAAATGCGCATTTATGCTCTTTTCTCTCGAGAACGACTGTCTCATTTTCACGATAACTTTTATTTAGTACTTCTAACATATAAGATCTATTTTTCCCCATCAAGGTATGATGTAAATGACATGCTATTTACATATTGTGAGTTTCAATGACGCACGTTTGATTTTATAAAAAATACCAAACTTTGTGACAAAGAATTTCCTCCTGCTTGCAGCGAGAAGACGGACCGGTTCGGGGCAATAGCAAAAACATAATTCAGGAATCTTTATACATGTGTGTTACATCTATTATTACAAGGATCTAAAGTTTTAAATCTTCTCTTAGAACGTCTCCGATAGACCGTTACATGTCCGTTGTAAATTCCAATGGTTAGAATATTGCCCATCTATGCGATCAGGTCATTGCTCTATTTTTGTTCAGAATTGCATTCATTTCTGAACAAAATACTCAATCGGCAGGGCGCTGGCAGATGAATCGGGGCTTATTTGAGATTTATTAATTACTTAGTTATTAATAACTTAGTCTATGTCTTTGTTTTTATAACTGCGGAAGTGTTCCAAAACCACCTTGATTACAGAAGAGATCATCGAGGAATTACTTTAGATTTTATGATTATAATTATTCTTTGCCTCTAGTCTCATTTCTAAAACCTGCCTCTATTTGCGTATTTAATATTTGTCACAAACTATTTCAGCTATTTTACAAAACCAAACGTTACTACATTATAGTCCCCCCCCCCTTGCACTGTTGAAGTCTACGTCTGTTTTTCAAGTCCCGGGCCCACATTGGGCGATATATGTAGAGTATGCATTTAGATTTGTTACTTGGAGAGGCACACAGAAGCAAACTCACTGGAGACATTGATAGATAATCAGGATTGAGAGTAAATGATGAATACACGGCACGGGGCATTGTACCTGGGGCATTGTATTCTTCGTTTTCAAATATATGATTCGGATTCGGAGAGCTTTTCTAATCCCGGTGTAAAAGAAATTATGGTCCCCTGGGGATTATGGTCCCCTTTCCTAAAGGCCCTTGCTGGCCCTGATTGTGGATACGATGATAAGGGAAATAGTTGTGTTTAGGTCACCATATAAATCAATGGAAAGTAGGACCATAATTTGATAGGACCTCCTACCCTTTTACAAATGATGGTCCCCCAGGGATTATGGTCCCCTTTCTTAACGGCCCTTACTGGCCCTGATTGCGTATAAGATAATCAGGGAAAGAGTTGTATTGAGGTCACCATATAAATCAATGGAGAGTGGGACCATAATTTGAGAGGACCTCCTACCCTTTTACACCTGGATCCTGACTATGGAACTCCTTCTATATTGAACTAACTCTCCCTGTTTGAATATACAATATTAAGGAAATGGATACGTTATTAGGTCAAAGAGTCACCATGTCAATGAGGAAGGAACGTGTAGAACCAAATAATAGACTAGATACGAGTTACCCTGCGTGCAGAGTCTAGTTAAACTACAAGACGAAGCTCTCTTTTAAGAAGTGAAGTCAAACGAATGCAAAGGGTAGATACGAGTATAAATAATCTTGATTTACCTCATTAAATATTCAAAATTCAGTCAAAGCGATGTCATATTTGAAATCTACATGTAAAAGTACATCTAAAAATATGGTTTCGAAAGTTGTTTATCAATTTTGAAGCCACCAGCCATAGTATTTGAGACTGATTTGAGATACATTTCATCCCATTTAAACTGTTTTCCTTGCACATTTGAAATTATAGTAGACAGGCATCACATTGGAGGAGGGGGGATGAGCATTAACATAATCAGATTTTAGGATGCATTTGCAAATTGTATTTAAAATTCACATGGGAACTTAAGGAAAAGAAGGAAAATGGGTCTTAAAATTTGACACTCACTCATGGAAATAGCATGATGCCTGAAAACTTGTGCCAATTTTGGTCCAAAAATGGCCGAAATCACCTAAAACGTGTTCAGAATGGTGAAAACCGCATGATTTTGAAAGATTTTTTGCAAGGGGGGGGGGTAAATCGAACCCATCGAACCCCCCTGGCTACGTGCCTGTGACGGGCCTGATATCTAGAGGGGGCTTGATAATGATCAGGGGTGCGGGTAAACAAATTCTTATTCCCCGTCGAACATGAATACACTTATATTTGCAAGGAGATGATGGGCTGACGCAAGTGAAGTTAATTTGTTGTTGTATCATAAGTAAATAAGTCTAGAAATACACGGACAAAATGTAATCAGAAAGGTGGACTTATTAGTATTATTTGTTTTGATTAATGATTATACATAACTAAAACGCTATGTTAGATGTCTGTAATCCACCCCCCCCCCCCTCACCAAGGGCTATGCATTGTTTCGAGTGATCTAGATTCGTAGAACATTGATAAAACAGCCTCGTTACGTTTGGAACATACCTGTACTACTATTTCGTACTTTCGCACATTAACAATTTATCACAAAATGTCATGTTGACCTCGATTTGACCCTTTTGACTTACCTTTCGAATAACAATACTTTTTTGAAGTGCAAATTGAATATTAAAGGCTTGCAAAATACCAACATTATTGAAAACAGATAAGTAATAATAAATCGCCGGGGGAATTCCAAATATCCAAATCCCTCCACCATTGCGACTATGTTATAATGGGCATTTAATTGAAAGTCTGTTATAAAAAGGTTGCAGACATTAGGCTCTTTAAAGGTTTGTCATATATTGCTATTTATATACCATTTGTCTTCTATAGCTTCTTAAGCATCAAATATCAAATCACAATAGTCCAGGGAAAAAACAATTGTGAATAATGGTTAAATGTTCATTCTTAATTTAATGAAATTCACTTTTGGATACTAGGATAGGTACTTTTGAAAGTAGATTATTTGTTTGATTGAGAAAATTGTTTTTTTTATCAAATTAACATGGATTTTTAAAGAATTTTTTGTCATAAATGTTAGTAACAATAGCAATCAATAATTTGTAAATTATGTGCAGCATATGTAATCCGGAATATGCACACAATAGTAGTGTATGTTAAGGAGGCACGGGATTACTTTGCGGTATCTAAAAATGCGATGCCAGGAATGAGATGTTGCGGTGTCTAAAAAATGCGATGCCAGAAATGAGATGCTGAGACTACTTTGCGGTGCCTAAAGTGAGATACCAGGAATGAGATGCCAGGGGTTAATAACATTTTTACTAATGATGAGATGCTTGCTTTTGTAGTAACCATAGTGATAACCTGAGGTTTGTGGTAGCTTCAATTTGAGATGCATAACGTCCCAGTATATCATAAATATACTTGATTAAGAAAAAATATTCATAAATACTAGATCTCTTGAGGTTGAAACATGATTTCACAATTTTATATATACTTGAACAGCACTGATTCTATGGATACATATCCTTCTAACAATAATACCAAGTTCACAGTTAAATTACCCGAATATATTTCATTGAATCCTGATGAACAATGGCAGTGTGGATTGGTGGAATTGAGACATCCAACAGTATACGGGAGAATCGTAATGAATGTGATGTGCAATCTTTGTTACGGTACCATAGTTGGCGGTGAAAATATTCAGTTGTTAAGACAAGTACACGCTACCCAGGATGACATTTTCTACACTGGGAATTGTCAATCTTATAACCCTGTTCTTTATACACCCGTTATACCATCAGGATTCCAACACATATCTATCAGTATAAAAGAAGCAAAGGGTACCGAAGCTTTTTCATTTAACAACGATACGTTCTTTTGTGTGTTACACTTCAAAAAAGCG